ATCGGTCCAACGGGTGTAATAATCACAGTGTATCCCTTATCCATCAACAATCTTGGCATATTCTCGATTCCACCCCAATAGTTGATAGTACCGAATAATGGCGTGCCCCAACCAGCAAATCCCGGAACTTATTAGACCGTTAAAACTGAACAATGAGAGATATTCCAAAAAGTTTTCTAACCGAGTACGATTGGGACTTTCTTATCTTCAGGTAAATTTAAAGCGAAGTTGTCTGCCAACTCTCGCAGATTAACAAGTCCATCCGGATCATGGAGATCCATTTTTTTTATCGGTATAATTCTAAGGCTCGAGAAGGAGATGATAAAAATGAGATTATGAGATTAGAGCTAACGGAAGAATCTTTGGGTGGTAAAGAACAAGTGTGTGGCCAGAATAGGAAGAGAAGAGGGGAAGTGGATGCCCTGCAAAGAACCAAGGGGAAACACCCATGTTTAAGTACACACCCCATGTCGTCGGCCTATAAGCCAAAGGCTGAACGTGAACGATTTGCTAGATCAAAAATCGTCGAGACTACCTATTCAGGCTTGCTAATAATGAGTATACGTATTTTCAAGTGAGAGTACTTGAGTGATAATCTTTGACGTAAATTTTCCCTTTTGATCACGCCAGTTCGGATGATTGTTACGACCTTGGCGAGTGAGTTGCATGTTGAGTGAGGTACTCGAGTGCTTGGTAGTTGAAAGTAAAAACACAGTTACGGTCCCAACCAAATGGGAGATGAAAGAGAAATGAAAAGAGAGAGGGGAAAACGAAAAAAGAGAGCGGGGAGTGAAAAATATTGGGACTGGGCCGCTGGAGAATAGATTAGCGACAACGGAATGAGCCGTCATTGATCGAGCCAATGAAACATTTCTAATCCGTCCTGTGCATGTGAAGGCGTCGAGAAAAGTTTAAACGCGGTTTCCTCAGATCTCATGCATATTTGAGGGTGGCAGCTTTCCTTACATAGCAGCTTTTGGCACATCAGACGTACAGTGGGATGGTCTCTGAACTCCTAGATATTACCCTGGGCTCTTCCAGCGTGCCTGCGATCAGCAGCATTAATCTGGTTTACGAGATAACCTCCGATGGTTAAAGATCGCCGATGAGGCTCTTGAAACCTAATTCGATTTGTAAATTGTTTAGGAAATCATAATGTGCCTCATGAGCTCATAACAGTAAACTGTTGATTTAGTACCGTTCAAAATATATTCCATACCAAAATCTGCTTAATATTTAAACAGTGCGCTGATTTAGTCTCGAGTAGGGTGTCACAAAGAGAGGTTTGAGGGGGGGGGGGGGGGGTTTTTTGTGCCGTCTGGTATCTGCTCTTTGATCAATTTAGTATAATGCCTCAATTCAGATATTTTCTCGGATTCACTTAGCTTTGTAATATAAAACGCACCCGTCCTGCTTTATTCTTGCCGCTCTTTCTTGGGAAAGTTGTAGTGGAGTTATTTACAAATAACTAGTCTACGATGGCTAAAAGATTACAAAGTATGGTCGTACAACACTTATGAACGTCGAAACTTGTCTTTGAGAACGAACAACTTATTTGGCGTATGACTAATCTTGAGACTAGAGTACGGACATGCAGTTTTGTACCTTTTTTGATACGTATACGTGGATTCGAGGCTACGGACAAGTGTAAAACAGCTTACAAAGCTTACACGATAAATACGTATCTATGTACGTACGAGTTAGTATATATAGTGCTAGTTATAAGTGAATCAGCACCAGGTCTCGTGGCATAGGAAGATACCTCGGCGTGTGATGGAGCTGAATGCGGTATATTAAACTTTCGTCTGGCCGCAAACGACATTCTGTTCATATATATATGCCTTCCTCAATTTCTGGGGGCAAGCAAGTTGGAATGTTGATATCTGAACAAAGGTGGAATCGTGATCGATCGTAAGATACTGACCTATAGCTTATAAGCAATACAAGATAGCGACTTTACCAAGATATCTATCGTACAGGTATTAGTGAGTAGTGGCATGTCCTTTAGTGACTGTAATGACTACTACAGTCTCAATGGCGGGTAGATATGGGGTTTATAGAATATCTGCAGCCATCCGAAGTACAGACCATTCATAACTCGTTACGGATAACCTTAATGCCGTGATTGCAACATTTAGTTGTACTGGGAAAATGCTCCTGCCCCGTCAGGGAATACTTGGATGCGAGAACTAGTCTCAGCAACACAGACGTATAGCATGAGATTGTTGGATGCAATCCACAAACTAGACGCTGCTCCGCAGGCTGCGCAGTATACTAGTATTCAAACCCGATTTAAACTGAAATTGAACTTTCCGGATCGAATATTACCTCTTTAGACATATTTTTTTTATAAATATTCTTTCAATTCTCTTCTACTTTTATTATATCATTATATAAATTTTCTTTTTCAATATACTTTTTCGACAACATTTTAATGCGAAGCAAACTTTATCTTTCACCCTGGTACGAGACTGGACTGCTCAGTGTTTCGGCGCCAAGAAAAACAACATATTCTTTGTATGGGGAATTCGACAATATAAAACCCGCAATGTAAATTTAAGCACGAATAGAAATATAGGTCACACATGAACCCCAAATCTCACAGCCCTTCGTGTACACCCCGATGGCGTATTAGGTATTGGAATTGGGGAATGTCGTTTGAAAGCCCGTTTTACGATATTCTGTTATTGGTCTGTCGCTAGTAGGGCGGGGGGTTGCAAGTTCTGCCAATGTAAATTTAAACCCGTGAGGTAATGTAGCCTTCCATGTAGTTATCGGGCTACTAGAATTGGCTTGCAGTTTTGTTCCACCGAGGAAGTGAAGGTTGGAACTTTAACTATCGTCCTTGTATAAAGAATTCCTAGTTGTTGTTCGGTAGAATGCTAGATCGACCAAGACTCTCTCGTCCTTGTCTTCGGACCGCAGTTCCACCCCACGAGCGTCCCTCCAAATGCCGACTCTGCGTTTGACGTCCCCTTATTCCTCTGTCTCAATATTTTTTACCATTAGATGTGATACAATCGGCACACTGGTGTACAAAGGTACCGAACCACCCAGAGTATTTTCTGGGACAACAACCACCCCGCCAGCTGCACCTATTACTTTCTCGGAAAATTTACCTAGCCTGTTGAGATTGACCCCGCCAATGCAACAGTACAGAAGTATGACCTTAGAGATTAGGGGGCTTTGAATAGTGGTAAAAAGACTTTAAACTCATCTTGCGCCAATTCCGGGGGTATATAACATCTCTAAACTTTTTGGTAAATTTTAACGTGATTTTGTCACCCTCTCTTTCGTATTACTGGGTGGACTGGGCGGGGAACACAATCCGGATCGCTTCTAGTCCTTGATCTTTAGTGCCACTCGTGATTGTGTAAGCTAGCCGTCTGGTTCTCAGTATCCTCCCTAGACTACAGAGAACGGCCATTTTCCACTCTATTAATGGTAATCCTAGGCAATCGTCGCGGTTCACTTGCTGTCTCTCAAGTAAATTAGATTAATCTTCAATGTCTTCATCTTTTACTACCTCTCGAAGACCTTCAGGAGTTTGTCCGTCATTTTTCTAGCGCCATTGAGAAGCCCTGCCAGCTCTCATCCGGTGGCACCGCTGGTGGGGCTTTTTATCGTGTCCTAGATCCTTGATGCTGTCCTGCTGCTTTATGGGTATTAGTTATCGTCCATAAACCCAGAGTATACTAGTAGCACCGGTAAATACGTAGGAATATGTCGATATACATATATGTATATATGAAAAACTCTTACCATAAAGCGCAATGCGTAACGGAAACGGCTTTCGTCAATTTATTTGGCTTATTCTGTTCCAGAATAAACAGATGGTGTAGCTGGTATTGTTACCCTGTGAAGTTAACTAGACCAGGGGACCCGCCAATACCGCGATGGTGAAATCAAGTCATGGTATTCACTAAGTAAATTTGTAACAGGATATATCGATAGAACAGGGTAGCTGTGATGCCTTATCTAATTATATGGGTATTCCAGAGGGAGCTCGGGGCCTGGGGGCGATCCTCTCATATCCAACTAAATTTATACTGGCGGGGAAACAAAATACAGGGATGAACCTAAAGCGAGGCTCGAGGGAAGAATGTAGAAGGAGGCCGAAAATATTGCGGGCCGAATCATTAAAAACTTGATGCATCCACAACGCGACGGATAGAAAAACACAGATGCGTACCAGTTGCTGATTCGGCTCTCTCTTCGTGCTGTTGTAGTATTTTTTATTCATATATATATTTGAATCTTCCTCGTTCCAGCGAGGTAGACCCCGCGCCGTTAGTGAAGTACCGCGATACCAAACGTTACTTACAAAATGCGCAAACATCGCATATTTGTAGTACGTAGTTGTGCTAGTTTCCTAGAGGTGTTATGCATTTTATGTTCTGCGGTAGTGGGTGCGTCATCTACAGTCTCGGACATCATTTATTGAACTTCGTACTGAGGTGTCTAATGCACATGGAAACGCACCTGCTATTTTCTTAGCCCGCGCTACGTAATCGTAATTACGCGTATACGCATGATTATATTTGTACTATGTTATAGGCACCTGCCTAGATCTCTAAATTCTGTAAACATGTAAAGTTTACATTAATTGCACTCATACTCGTAGGACGCGCCTAACTGCCTATTTATTGATAGGGCGTCGACGTCGAATCTCAATGGTATTCATGAATTCACTAGTGCACTGCTGAAATTCATGCCATTGCATTAATTATATTATGGCCATTTACGTGATATATTGTGGGCACGCTGCGCCAGAAAGGCTAGTCGGCTTAAGCTGAGGCTTCAAATCCAAATTGGAAAGCTAAATTTTGGTCGCTGGACGTGGTTGAAATCATGACGGTTGTGGGATTGATGGAAATAGCGCAGGAGCCAATCAAGACGAAGGATGCTGCATATTTGCCGCCACAGCCCGCCTCCGAATCAATCAATATTCTCAGATGGATTGATGGCTAAGTACTAGAATTGCGACCACATCAATATAGTCTCAGATGGTCCAGTGGTCAAGATTTCCGCCTGTCACAATTGCAAACAATTTCGTACTTTAACTGAGTGCGCTGTTTGCTAGCTCGCGGACGACCGGGGTTCGATTCCCCGTCTGAGAGGCTTTTTTTGTACTTTTTTGCACCTTTTCCCCACCGCTCTCGTCAAACAGTTTGTACCTGAAAACGAGCCAAATGTTTTTTTTCAGTCTCGTAACAATTTGGTTACGAGACTGGTGTTTTTTTTATATGCTAGCCATCTTTTGTTTGTTCCAACACAGCAACACAATTCAGGCTCGTTAGCTCCCCAACAAGGACAAGGGTCTAATCAAGAATCGAATCTGTTGGATGCCATATACCGTATTGTTGGATGAAATCGCCGGGAAATATGTATTGTTGGATGAAATGCACTCTGTTTCAAGTGTTTGACTTATCCTGAAAAGAGGTCTATGAATAAGATTCTATTGCTGATGTTGTACATTATTGCATCTTTATTATATTGCCTGAATTGACACTTGCGCACCTTGCCTGCCCTAGATTAAGGCTAGCATCATGATATCAACATGATACCGTAGACTGAAACTTTGTTAGCTATGCTTTAACTTAAAATCCTTTATGCTGGTTTCTGATGTTTAATAATCGAATTAAACTGAGCATACTTATATACTAATACTAGAATATCAAGGAGATAGATGGCTAGAAACTCATCGATATTGTAATTATAAAAGATCTAGTTCGATTTATTGGTGGCTCATTTGCTACAAATTCTATAAATAATATTATTTTGACAAACACTTGATACTGGTCTCGTACCCAGAGCTCACGAAAGTCCTTGGTACTATATTTTGCTATAACTAAACGATGTTATTTCGAGTTTCAATTGGGGGAACACAAATTCTTTAAAATAAAATTTGCAGGCAGAATTATTTGGTTGAGTGAAATTTATGCTACGAGAGAAGGAAATTGGGAATAATCGTTAGAAGGTGTTGGATTGCTCTATTAAGGAGGAGAGTAGTCTCGTAGAGGAAAGGAGCTCTGTATGTCTTTTTCTCAGCGCCACTAATGGTCGAATATCGTGTTGAAAATGCAGCTACTAATTGCTGTCGTCTGCGCGCCGGCCTAATTACATTGATACATGATGCATGCAGTCGATCGAATTGATACTATATCGATGTACCCGCAAAGTCCGTCGAGGGCGAGTTGTACACGTCGTCTCTAGATCTCTCGACCTTGACTAGCTCCGGCGCTCCCCAGTCAATCACACCGCAATTTGTGTTGCAGCTGATCTACCCCACTCAACCCCAAAACGTGCACAGCGTACCATTCCCCGCTGAAAGGTATTTTTCCTGAATTCCTGTCTTATTGACACCTTGAGTCCACAACTGCACAACGTGTACATGCACCAACGTTAACTCGGCTCAGTTTCGAACGTTAACTTGTGAATTTATCCCGCCGAAACACCTCCCCCACCCCAGACTCGTCCTACCCCCGGATATGTCCTCATCGGCTGGACTTTCTAGTAGTCTCATTCGGCCTAGCGTCCCACGGCCAACTCTGGAGAGGGGACAAAATTTGACTAACACTGTTGTCAAAGATGCTTTTGATGGCGAAGATTGGCTCGAACGCACAGGAAACTGGGCCAAAAAGCTCACCATTGACAACACTATGAGGCTCATACAGGTATCTTTGATCGGAAATAAACTCTACGGCGTTACGCTGACTAAGTTCAACTTGCGGTAAATAGAAAATATGCGACGAGGTCTACAATCAACATGAAGGACAAATGTCCCCTAGCTTTACTTTTCAAAAACAGAATACTGATATCAAGGATGCTATGTACAATAAATTTCTTTTTTTGCTTCAAACTTATGAAATGGAGGGAGACTACCGATCTCTTATTATGGACATGCTTGATGCGACAGACCCAAACGAAGAGGGGTTTCGAGGGCGCCGGTGGCTGTTTGAAGTTTGCATGCGTCGTACGTGGGACAATCGAAGTTCGAGAGCAAGGGGAAAGGATCCTAAAGCAAAAAAACGCACTCGGGGATCGGCTCACTTTCAACCAGAGAGGTAGTTTTCTCTATTTGGATATTTCCTTGAAAATAGAACACTTTCGTTGACTCCATGATCGCTATAGTAGCGGCTAGAAAGACGGGAAAATGAATCGAATCCACGACAGGATGCTGTTTGTCCCCCTGCGCTCGGGCTTCATGGTCGGAAGTAGTCTCACGATGTTAAGCAAACATATGTAAATGCATATTGGTTTTTTGAGACGGATGCTTTTTCAGATTCTGTGTCGGGCCGGAATGTTACCCAATGATAATACATGCTTTCCCTCCCTTGAGCACCTCGAAATCGAATATCGGAGGTGGTGTCTATCATGCAAGCTAAATTGAGGCCTATGGTATTGCCCGGCAAATGTGAAATTTTGCGTCTACCCCTTCTAGCTCCACGACTTGATTCTGCCGGCCATCCGACCCCCCCAATACCGCCCTACGCAATAAGGACGGGATTCTCAGAATAGGCGAGAAGACTCGAACGTGCCATTCTATATTTGGTGAGAAGAGTTGTGACAAAAGCGCGAAGGAGTATTGATCAGTTAAGTACAGGTACCCAAATTTTCCCTACTGTTTACAGGAGGGATCCCAGATAAATATAAACTTAGTATAATCTCTCCCGGAGCTTGGTGGGTTAAAAAAGTATTATTTTCCTAAGTATTATAATTCTGGCCAGTTAAGCTCAGCATTAGTTACGAGACTGAGCTTAGTAGTTCATAGTTCCAAAACCGTGCTTTGAAGTAGTCGGGTGTAAATGCTGCGCGCAGCGCAGCCTCCAGTATAATTACGGGATCCGAATCAAAAGAAGCCGAGGCTCTGAAAAAGATACCATTCGATTCTGTGTGGTCGTGGATATGGTCACATGAAGAAAGTGCTGATCTTGCGTTGCGATACGTTGCATGTTGGTCGTTGGCAAACTTGTTGGCAAACATGGCCTGGATGTTCTTTCGCGAAACCACCAAAATACCACAGTTTTAAACCCGGGCGAAGAACACGAATCAAGACGACCATTGAGCCGAGGGTACTGCTACCATATGATTGACATCTTATATAATTGAGAAAATCAAACTACCCATCAAGCTTCCAGCAGATGGCTCTTAGGACGGAATGGGCTCTTAGGGTGGCACAACACAGCCCAAATATTTTTTTCGATCCAATTTTATATGCGATCGTAGTGATTACCCGCCAACAAGCATGCGTCTATGACTGCCTAAGCTCAGGCACGACTAAGATTGCATCTTACACTAATAGCTCCGACGGAATGGTAAACTGATACTCTGTCGCTTAGGTTCACTAGCTTAAATTTGTCTCCTACACAGAATACCTCTCTGCTAAGGCCTGGAAGTGTAATAGATTTAGTAATTTTAAATATTTCTGAAAAATTAAGATCAAAAAACCAAAGTGGTCTTCAATAATTTGTGAGATTATATTGTATTAGGTAATTACCGAGTAAGATATAATTTAAGTAAATATATTTGTTTTTAAATAGGAATCTCTAAAACCTTTTTTATAAGGGCCTTATTTGTGGAATAATCAAATTCAGTTTGTAGGAACCTACTAATACATATCTGAAAATAAAATATATTCAATTTCTAATTTATCTTCATCCCTATTAAATGCCAATTATATAGGAAAAAATAAGCCCAAACTGGTTTCATATCCAAATCCCTCAAGAATTGGTATTAAACTCGGACTCCTAATTAAAGGATTCCTGGCAGCTATTTGTAAAATGCACTGGAAGGTTTCCTCGCGATATGGCGAACTTGTGAAAATAGATGTCCAAAGAACAGGAAGAGGATGTTGCATATTTTGAGTGAGAGATCCCTCAGTGTCCGATGGTGTGATAGCGATAGGGAGAAGTTGAGCAAATCTTTGGACTTCTCGAGACAGTATTTCTGGGGTATTCTTTCGATCGAGGAAGCGATCGAGGAACTCACGGAGGGCTATGTGATCCTCATAAGTGGGTTGCCGCTGTGGGAGAAACTCACGAGCCCAGAGATTACCATAGAAGTTGACCGCCCTTCCTCGGGTATTTGTCAGCTTGTTTAACTGGCGCTAACAAGGCGAAGAAGCTGGCCAACAAGGGATCCACCTCGTTAACGCCTTCCAACTAACAGGCAGGCTTTCAACATGTTATCAGGACGCTATAGGAAGTATCAGACGAACACTACATAGAAGTAACAAGGATATTCTACGAAACCTTGCAAAACAAAGGCATAACAAACCAGGCAGTTTGTTTAGAACTTCATAAAGCTATACGGGCGACTACACAATAGAAATATCGAGAAAGAGGGGACTACAAGAAAGTTGAAGTTGTTGGGAGGAGAAGAATACATGGCAAATACTTTCTGGGTCCCTTATATACATTCAATTTGGCGTTTAAATGTATCAATTACGTTAAGCAATTTCCACTCCACCTTTGGTCGAAATTTTCGTTTTTAACAGCTTGGAATTTGTTCGGCAAAAGAATATAGATTACTGAGTTCCGACGTGTTGTCTTTGCCTGACCTTATGCAATGCTAATAACGCAGAAAGAAATCCGTGTAGACCTAACGGTCGTTGCGTATATATACTTATGCACGCACACCGTTGGTCCTAGCCGCTTCTACACAACCCCGCGATCAAATGCCTTTGCCCTTAGTCCTATAAACATTCCACCTTTCTAATGAACAAAACCCCACGAGCAGATTTTTAGTAACCTATGTGATCTAGCATGAAGAACAAAGAAGGTAAAAGGGCTGGAAAACAGTCCGTTAACAGCCTTGCAGACCAAACCAGATAGATTTTTGTGGTTGCGACGAACATAGTATGGTTTAGAGTGGTCCTGTTGGTACAGGCTAGCTTGGGTGGCCGATAGTCAATGGTACCCGCCTTGAGCTTAGTGACCAATTAGAGTATCCACATGCTACAGGAATGGTTAGCGGCAAACTCAGGCCTTGAAAAATCCTGACTGGCTTGTGTAACCTACTATATTTATATTTATACTGCATCTTCATTTGATAGCAGCGTTGACAAGGGCACAGGCATCTGCGAGGGCTGCTCGTAACCTGGGTTTGTGAGTGTTTT